AAGAGCGGGAGTTAACAATCCAAAATAGAATATACCTCATTTGTCACATATTTGAGATGCACTGCAACACAACAGCGGAAGAAGGAAATGGACGTGAGGGGGGAAGAAAGCCACACAACTCTGACTAGCTCATTTTAGGCACAAGAGAACCACTGAGGCACAAACTGATTTCCCATATGCTAACAAGGAATTAATACATTTTTCTCAGTCTTTAAGCTGCATATGAATGCTCAGTAGCATTCCAGAGGGAAGGTCTGAGGTCTGACTGCACTTTTTTCCTGTGACACTACTGTAATAATCACCTTAACTTTTGCATTCCTACGTTAGTAAACGGTTACATACACTGTCATTTTCAATGAAAAGTAAAATCTTGTAATATATTACCTAATACGTGCTACTTAAAAATTTTTCTTCCTGCAAAGGTTACTTACATCTCCCATGTTGTAATTTGACTTCAGGATCAGATTGAGAACACCTCTGTCTCTGCCTTCTGCAGAGGTTGCAGCATAGGGAAATAGAACATGCAAAACAGCGCTGAGACACGGCACTGCATACAAAATGAAGCTCTGTCATTAATAATACACAAGTGTTAGAACAGAGACTTGAAATATTAATGAATGCTTCCAGAGACAGAGTTACGAGTGGTAGACCTTAAAGTTTCCTTAGTTTATTAAAGGATTCCACGGCACAGGCTGTTTTCCATATGCATAGCTTTGGGTACGCAGTCACTAAACAGAGTTGGGTTACCCAGACAAACACACAGCGCTCTTTAGCCAGTACTGCAGATGTACATGTGGCAGTGTGCACAAGCTGAGATCTCTTTTGAAGTTCCACCTGAAGAAGAAACTCCTGGCTACACCAATAACCGCATTTTGCTATCACGCCTTTGTTGAACAGTGATTTCAGTGATTTTTTTTTTCTGCTCCTAAAATAAGAAGGCAAATAGGGAGTAGAGCATCAGGCACCAATTGGCACGTATTCCATTTGGAGCATGCCCACCTTTACTGTAAATTCCACTGTAAGGAGAGTGATATCAAACAGTGTTGGCAGGTAGAAATTTGAACATATATATATTCTTTAGATATGAACTAGCATAAAAGAATTTATAGTTCACATACTAGTTTAAGTTCATAAATCCTATACAGATAAATGCATCTTAAAAAGAGAAAACCCTGAAGTAAAATACTGAAGCTAATGTTGTTAATAAATTAAATTATGTTTAAAAAAACAGTTCAAAAAAAAGTTTTTTCCACGCTCAGGAAACAGGTAGACTAAAGAGATGTTAATCAGAAGAAAAAAATGTTTTTGAGGTTGTATAAACTGTATTAGTTATATTTCATATATGCTTTATATTACTCTGTTAGAAGAGCATAAAAATGTAAACATTTCTTGGCTTTTTCCTCCTTTTAGTTTGAAATAGTCTACTCACAGTCCATGCACGATCTCTCCAACAGTTAAATCTTCAGTGACTGAAGACTTGGGTTTAAGACAAAACAATTAAGAATTGTAATACAAAAAAAAAATCTAGAAAACTATTGTAGCCTAACAATACTTTCGCATTCACTTGATTTATTTAGCATAGCCACAGAACAAAATAATTTGTACATTCAGTCACATTAAAAACAGAAGGAATTACAAAGCAGTCCACATTTAATCTAAGTGCATTCCTTTGGAGTAACACAGTTCCTTTTGTTTCATTTGTATGTCTTCATATGCCAAAGGCCATCATTTAAATAATGGATATTTTCGATGCCAATCCCTTTGTTGACCTTCTCACTGTAGAACAAGGAAAAAAAAGGTATAAAAGCATTAGTCAGGTTAAACATTAAAGCAGTACAAGATACAATAGTTAGAGTACAAAATATAGCATTTATCACTTGAAATGGGGGAAAGTAATCACCCATAAAGGCATATTATTACACAGCAGATGGAGAAGAAACAGTATTTGCCATATTACACATAACCACGTTGCTGAATGGTAAGACAACAATATTTGCCTTCCACATTTTGTCAGCAACCTACCACGGTATTTTTTTGACGGTTTCTTTGTGGGAGACAGCACTTCACACACCACTTCTGCTACTTTTGTTAACTGTTTCATTTCTCTATCCATTTAGTACAGCAATTGTGAGTGACCCTCCTCCCTGCCCACATGGTGGTGTAATACAAAACAATGCTGGAATATAGAATTCAACAAGTTCTGGTTCCAGATGTGCCACTGACACAACCAAACACCAGTGATCTGCTTTGCTGCTATTTGCAGGACATCTACCCGCTTCCTAAAGAAGTGCAAATGCCAAATTTTCATGCCAAGGACTTGTAACACATTACAGTTGGAGAATATCCCTCTACACCTTTTGAGTCATATCATCTTTCAAATAGTTTTGTGTATTTCCATTGGATTTGCATTTATCTTTTCTCCAGCAGACTATCCCATGGGAGAATCTAGTTTTGTCACAATAAGCAAGACATTCTGAGACTGAGAACAGGCTTCATTCCCCTGGAGAACATGATATACTCTGTTCCCACTAGAGTGCTCCACTACCCTGACAACAAGAAAAAGAAATCACTGGCTTATTGGAAATAATTAACAAATTGTTGGATTATGTATCATAATCCCTCCAAACAACAGAAATCACGCTTTCAGTTTTCATTTTGTAGTATGTTATGCAAAACAGTATTCTAACAGACTGCACAGATCAGTATCATTTAATTTTCTTCTCCATGCTGCTTTTTTCCCCTCTTCAGTTCATGCTGCTTCTCACAGGAAACGGATATTCAACTGTTAGGCTGCCAAATTTGAACGTGGGATTAAGATTAGAGATATTCTAGCCCTGCAGTGATCACAGCAGGTCGTACACATAGGGACACGAGTACCTGCATCTCCCTTCTTCCCAGGTATTCTATGAGTCTTTTGAAGGCACTATGAGCATCCTGAGGAATGTAGCTCCTCAGCAGCTAAAGCAGGTCCAAATCCGAGTTGCTGCAGTCCCACTCAACTCCAGTCCTCACTAACATGCCCCTGCTCTCCTTCACACTACTGTTACCACCTATGACTGTGCAGTGACTCAGTGCAGAAGATGATCCAGCTGAGAATTATCCCCACCAGAAAGAGTGACTTGTTTCATCCCAGTCAACTTTCTCACCCACACACGTGCTGGAAGGGGCTGGAACCAAAGCGGCCCAGACCTGTTGGGTTCAACTTACTTGCTGCTAGAAGTCATGCAACTTAAAATCACAAAATGATTTAGCTCCTGATAACTTAGCATTACTTGAATGTTAAGGACAATTAACATCTATTCCACTCCAGTTCCAATTAACATCCTCTTTGCCTTCTCAAGTAATTTTTCAGTTGATGTGTATCCCTTGGATGGACATTTCACAAGAAGCTTAGCTAAGCTATTAAGTACATCAGGCAGGAATAGTGCATGTGGGAGCAAGGCAAAGAAAGACAGAAGGTCCCAGAAGAAAGCCCAGCTGGTCGACCAAGAACCAGCAGGACTTGGCTCTCTGCTATCCCTGCAAACAAAATCACTTCAGCATTTTCAGCCCCCCTCAAATTCAAATTACATCTCTTGCCCAGGCCAGCTAGTAAGTAGTCCATATAGATATTTCTTTGTTCAGCAAGATCTTTGAGGAAAATATGATCAGAGATGAAGAAATATTAACATTCAGAGGCATCACTGATGTTATGGGGCTTAAAATCCGTATTCCCATAAAATAACTGTTTCAATTCCATTTGGTAGATAAATAAGTAGGGAAGATATTCCTTGCTTCCTCTTCTCCAGATTGAATTCTAATCAACAGAATGAAGGTCTAAATAAATTCTGATATTTGAAAAAAATATTTGATTCTGATATTTGATATTTCTGATATTTGAAAAAAATATGGTGCCACAGCGATTCAGCAGCCTTGTCAATGGTGCTTCTATTCCAAACTAACATAAGAATTATGATATGGGATATGGAACAGGTTATATTTCAATTTTTAAGAGACTTACATGTCCTCAGCTGACATCTTCATTACTCCCACACACAGTGCGTGCTGTTTTCCCTCTGCCATTATCGCCTACAAATTATTGCTTAGGAAAATTGATTTTTTTTTTTAACTATTTCAGAAAAGTAAAAGCAGTAACATGAGGAAGTCGCTTTTCAAAAAAGCATCGAAATCTCTAGTTGAACTTTTGCCCCTTTAGTAATTCTAGAGCTCTTGAGGATAAGCAAAAGAGTGTGCTGTATTTAACAGCTGAATCACAGTGCACAAGACCTATTTATGACCCTCAAACAGCAGTTACATTATAAAAAAAAAACTTCCAGCACAATACATTTAATTTCTTCCTTGTGCCAAACAAGGAGATGATAGTCTCTCAAGTTTCTACTTGAGAGACTACTCTTCTACTTTCTAGAACAGTATTACAACTACATGCAGAACCATTTTATATTCCAAGGTACAGAAGAATAGCAAAACAAATCTGAAAATGTTAAGTATTGAAATCAGACGTGTCTTTTTTAAAGCTCAACAACAGAAGACGCTAACTGCTAATCTTTTCCTATAGCATCTGAGTAACAACAAAAGCAGCAGTTTGGTATCATCAAAGTGGTATTTGCTCACAGTTCCTTTCTCAGTAAGATGACAGGCAGGAGGGAATTAGGACACTTTTCTCATTTCACAAGTTCATCATGAGGCATAGAGGAAAATCCTGACTACAGCAAGGCTTATCACAAACCTCTCTCAGAATTCACTCAGAATAGAACCAAATTCTTCTATAACTGAAGGAGGTACAAGATCAAGGGGAGAGGGGACAAATCACACTGTACCTCACCTCTTTGCACAGTTCTGCATAAATGCACAAAGAGACTTTACCTATCCATTAGATTAATGAAACACCATCCCACTTTACCGAGCACAGCAGGAATAGTTATTTTGGGCTTGGAAAACCACAGTAAGTAGAAAGAATTACGAATTATGCAATGTCTACTTTGCCAAGTAACATCTTATTACCTGCATCTCTTTTCGGATCATTAGTTATTCTGTGAAATACTATTAAAATTCAAAGTAATTCGGATTATGATCAGCTGACAAAACACAAATAAAAATTTTCTCATCTCACAGCAAGTGGTAACTCATCGTTAAAGGATACAACAACAGTATCAACAGCAGCAGGGTAAAGTTTTGCTCCAGGAGATGTCAGGCCAGGGCACATTATATTAGCTCCACTTAGTACAAATTTAATGGCTCCTTTATCAACCTGCTGATGTGGTAGAATAAATGGATCTAGGAGGGGAAAGATACAGCGTTACAATTAATATGGTAGGATGACAATATGAACAACTCATTACCAAGTTAGGTTAGAAGGGGCAGTTGGATGTATATTGTGCTGAGAAGGTAGGAAGTTTGAGAAACAATTACCAGAGCTCCTGCAGGGCAGTACTGTCCCCAAAGGACAGGAGTACTCTTTTCCCAGTTCATATCTTTTTCGCAGAACCAAAGACTAATCCAACACTAAGCCTCCTGCATACAAATGGAGCCTCTATACAGAGCACCACATACAAAGAGACTTGACTCCCCCAAATGGCAGGTATAATCTCTTACACGAAAAATAAAGTTTAATGTTAATAGGACAAAAAAGGCAAAAGGTGGACAAAAGTTATGAAGGCAGACTGTCAGCTCTCACAGCTATTCTTTAAGTGTCCACCACCACTTGAACTATTTCAAACATGGTTTTCAAACACTGGGATCTGACTGAATAACATCTTTAGGAACACCTGAGCTCATCAGAACCAGAGCAACACAATCAAGAACAACAAAAAAATACCCAAGGTTAACTTTTAAGTAGTAAAAACCTTGCAGCATAAACTCTTAAAGGAGGGAAGTACATAATATAACACTACCTGATGATTAAAGAATATTTTTGTAGTAAGCACCTACAAGTATTTGAAAGCAGCAAAAAGGGTGGAAAGGAACATTGCGAAGAACAAAGATATACAGCATGGGGCAACAAGACCAACAACAAGACATTTCAATTCAGTCAAAGAGAAAACTCTCTCAAGAAATTTTGTAGCACTTTGTGCAATTTAATTCTTAAAAATTAAACTTTGGGTTGCTTAATATCTAGCATTACAATAATTCTAGAGAAAGCAATCTATAGAGGCAACTGAAACATCAAAACAACATAGTACCTCTTCTAACCTGGAATGTATTTTCAAGATCTATTCTGGACTCTATATATGCATGTAAGTAGTAAGTTCTTTTTAATTAATTTTTATAGCAGTCCTACTGAATCCTCCACTCAACCCTTTCCCCCCACCACAGCTGTCCTCAGGCAACTTACATTTGTGGAGTAACCTTAGGGTTGGGTAAAAAATCCCTTCTCTCTGCCTGAAGAACAGCAACTCCCCATTCACAGTGAGGATTTCTATATGTTCATGACTGCGAGACAAAAAAAAACATGTTATTAGAATAACTACTTAACCCTATGATATTTTAAGTGAAATATTTCAGCTCATACAGTCTGGTCTGTCTTAGCATCTGAGAGTTAGGGCAGTAAATTAACGGGAAAATTTGGAATAAAAAAATGTTATCCTGTGGTATGCCTTATTCTTCAACATTTGCCCCCTGCACGTTTTCTTCCCCTTAGAAAATACCTGCAGACAAACACCCAGCAGTTCTCAAGCTGAATTTTTGTTTTTGTTTCATTTTTTTTGCACATCCCGTATAGGGAGCAGGCAAGCAGAAAAAAATAGCAAAAAAATACTACCCTGTATTTCCAAAGGAAAAAAAAAAAGAAAGAAAGAAAAGAAAAGAAAAAGAAAGAAAAAGCCAATCACATACAGAAGCCCAAAATTCGAAAAAATAGTGCTACTGGAAGCTATGCAAAAATAAGCCTGAGCTTTCATAGCCATAAAGCTGAATGCTTCCCTTAAAAGTAAAAGATTAAAAGGAAAAGACTGATCCTTGGAGAGTCCTTGAATATGTTGCACATGTACTCCCTACAAAGTGGTGTTTTTATTTTGTTCAAACATCCTACTAACAGCCTTCAAAAGCAGGATGAACATATGCAGACTTTATGGTTTGGTCATAACATGCACTACTATAAAATGATACACACTTTTCAAAAACATTAGGTTCATCTACTATAGAAAGTAAATACATACACAAAGTAATCAAAACACCTTAGAAACACAGGTAAAGAGAGAAGAAACTTACCATCTTACTATTTTGACAGGGTCTTTCTTTGGCATAATCTGGTTTAGCCATGGTTCAATAACAGGAAACTGATCTATCAGTTGATTCTTAATACCTTTAATAACTGAAGTCTTCAGCTGGATACAGTTTGATACATTCTCCTTTTCATCAAATCTGTCAAGCCAGTGAGAATATTTAAAAAAATTAGAGTTTGCTGCCTAAAATAGGCCACACCTGACCAGCATTTTAAGAAATGCTTGCAAATTGGCCATAAAACCTCAACAGTACCAAAACCGTCCAACTTTCAAGGCTCAGAGATTGTTCACAGGGCTTAAATCTGTCCACTGGAGACAGTGGGATGGGGGAGGTCTCACTAGCAGCCTGGTTTTGCCCCAAAATTTTGCGTACATCCGTGAAATAGCTTCTACTGTCTCATAGCTATACCTCGGCACTCAGCGGCACTTCCTCAGCCAGGAAATTAGGTTTTGCTGATGACACTGACTGTCATAGTGCCGTTCAGATGTGCTTACAGGCAGTCGCTCACCTTTACCACAGACCCATAAACTACAATTTATGCCACCCCAAAACCGAGGCAGCTGAAACATTCAGCGCTTAGGGGGGTGGGGGTGGGGACCAACCCTACTACGGGCCCGACGAGCCCGGCAGGGGTAGCGCTGGCCCGGCCC